CTTCCAATTTAGCAGAAGAAGATTTCAATGTTCTCTTAAACATGATAAGAAATATCAAGTTTGAGTAAGCAACTTCTATCCTGTTTGAGGGAAAACACTAGTCACACCAAGTTGAGAAAAATAAATTCTCAACACAAAGATGTCAAGACACTATATCTGACATCTCAAGAATCTCCAACTCCAGATTAGGGATTCTTCTTCAACAACTACTATGAACACTTGAGAATCATACATTCTTCTCCTTAATAGCAGTACACACGTGTGGTTAGTGCACACCCACATGAATCTTTCAATAAAAATAGAATATTTTCCTTGGTCACAAACAAGACTCCAAAATAAAGCTGGTTCCTTTTATCAGAAGGATTTTCCAGAATTCAAAATAATTATCTTCACATACGAACTTGACCTTCATATATGAACAGAACCGGCTGAGAAAACAAACTTCTTCGGGATACTAAATCTTATCCTTAGCACTTCTACTAACTTGAATCAGAAATAAACTGAACCAAGAAGCACACAATTAGTTGACCATCTTTCAACTAACTCAATCTAAGATGTTATTTCTGGATAAAACATCATAGCTATAACCCCAGATGCCCCCTCTTCCAAATTAGGAGTAGGTTCCAAACATATGTGATCACCACACATCTATTTAGAACCCAAAGCATCTTTTATGCCACAAGAATTTACACGCCTAGTAACATAATGTCCCAACATCTTGTAGGAAATTAGTTCCCTTCCTTTTGAACTCCCAAAACAAAGCTTGGTTCTGAAGCCTAACACTGCATCCAGAAAACAAATAACCCTTTATCACCTTCAAGGTCCTTAAAAATATTCTAAGCTCCAGCAATACCAAACAACAACAAGACTTAGAGTCACTTCCTAATTAGGTCAAGTATTAAGAAGACTCTACTAGAAACCAAAATAAATGGCTCTAAATTTTCGTTAACAAACACATAAAAAATTCCTTTATGAGTGGACTTGAAAGATGAAACTCAAGTATCGTTGGCAGCTTCACAGAGTTAGTTAAGGTTATCTTACACACACTACATCTTCATACACCAAAACTACTGAGGAGACCAAACCCTAATGCCCTTTCTTTACTTGAAAAAAAACAATCAGAGTTACATCAGATACCATGCAGCAGAATACACAATGACCAAAACTCCTCAACCTTCTTCAGGCGCGGATTGACAATTCTTGCCCACAATCATCCAGGCGCAATTAAAAACAACACAAGTTTGAAAAAAAACAAACCTAACATAACACAACACAACTGCCGTACAACAACATAACCAAGGCCACATGCCTAACAACCAAAGACATGTAAAAAACAAACCCTATCATGAATAGTCCATCCTCCACTTCAAGGGACCATTCAAACAACAGTATGAACTAACCAAGTTCAAACAACTTTTCAGTAGAACCTTCTACATTGACCATGAACTTGAAAGTATCCCCCTCAGGTATCATCTAGAAATAGACAAGATGCCTGCTCTGATACCAATTGAAATTGTAGTAGTTCAGAACTCAGATGTCCTATGACATGTTGGGACATCTGATCTGAACAAAAAAAACATGGCAAGGTAAAAACAATATAAAACAAAAAAGTAAAACAACACAAGAATTGTTAACCCAATTCGATGATAACAACACCTACTCTGGGGGCTACCAAGCTAGGAAGGAAATTCACTATCAATAGTACTAATTCAAAGCTAAACTACCCCATTTACAACTTATCACTTAATCCCTACCCAATGAAACTTCTACTTAGGAACTCCTAGATATGAGTATACCCATTCACTTCCAATCACTACAGCGATTCTAAGAGTCTCAGTCCTAGTTACTATATCGATGACCTTTCACCTAAGTGAAGATAACACTTCAAATACAAACAAACACCTTAATCAAGACACCCCTTGATTAAGAACAACTTAGTTGATCTTGCTTCATAACTTTGATCAAGAACAATACTTAGAGTTTCTTAGCAGCTTCCTTCAAGAACAATACTAACTCTTACTTAAAAGCTTCAAGGAGAATAATAATAGAGACTACACCTCTATAACATCAGCCAAATCACAACCCAGTGGGACACACAACCAACTCCCATAGAGAGTGGTATAGACTTAGCCCTAATAACTACATTGTTTCATTCATGGCTGGTATTAATCCTAGGTTACAAAGCTTCTATTTATAACCTATATTCCAACTGGATTTGGGCCTTAAATCACGACTTATCAGTTGTTACAATTCTACAAAAGATTCTGCATAATAATAGGTCTTCAATCAAATCTTCATAATTTATCTTCATAATTAGAAAGTGCATATTCTTTAATATTCTTCTTGATCCTTCATGACCTATAAAACAGCGCCACATAGGATTGCATAATATTCTAAAAATATTATGCATCTTGTTAATCACAACTGAATTCACTAATCCAGCTCAGCTCAGGCGCGATGTCGTATGCTCCTTCATAGGAAATCTGATCTGACATGTTTCCCCAGATGTTAAAATACTTCAACTAAACATGTCTCAACATAAGATAAGACTTCTTTCTCAACTTGTTCCAGTTAGCAAGTTAGCACACCCTATCTAACATATTGCTTCTATATTAGTTTTACCAGTCATAATCCAATCACATAATTCAAAGAGTTAACATGGATTATAAAAGATCCCTAATTTTCACGGGAGAAAATTTTAGTCATTGGAAAGCTGGTATATAAATTCATACCAACTCATATGACAAAGGTGTTTGAAAAGCCATTCTAAATGGTCCAACACTGGTGATATATATTGGTTAGACGGTTCTCTTCCTTAGCTTTTACCTTATGCTTTAGGATAGTCCCTTCATCTCCTCCCATCTTCTTTAATTTTAAAAACCTTCTCATCTTCTTTCAAAATCTTCTTTGTTTTTAAACTCGAACCGCTTTCATAATAAACCTCGACTCTGTCGAGTGCCTTTTCTTCTAAACTTCTTTTCTTTAAACAAACTTTAATTCATTTAATCATACTTTGACATTTCTTTCAAAATTAACAAAACACTTCAACTCATTCAAACTCTTTTGTGCGCCCAAGCACCTTTTCCATTCAAAACTTTTTTTTCAAAGTGAGACATGATTCATTGATAGTCGAGCAAAATTCTCCTATCCCTATGGTTATAAAGATGTTGACTTTTCCACTTGAGTACTAGAGGCGTTCTCAAACCCTCACTCTTGTTGACGCAGGGTCCATCTTTCTCATACCTTGTGGGTGTTAGTCGAGATTTCTCTCCTAACAATGACGACTTGTCTCCTTGTTTAAAATCAACCAACAGACAAGTCTTTTCTAGATGAACTACGTGTACCCTGATCCCCTATTGCACGAAAGGTGGTACGTAGGCACTAAAGGTTCGCAACCGCGGCGGGTGCAAAAATCATAAAAATATTTCTTTTCTCACCTCCACCATCCATTTTATAAACAATACATATTTATAGCCAAAATATACAGATTTTACAAAGAGGTTCCTGCGGAGTACCGTGGATGTTTAGGGTGCTAATACCTTCCCTTTGCATAACCAACCCCCTTACCTTGAATCTTTACCCCTCTTTTTGGGTTATTCGCTCTTTTCCCATTCCTTTGGAAACAATAAAGCGCGGTGGCGATTTTGATTTTGATTTTTATAAAGTCTAGTCAATCCAATGGCTTAGTCTTGCACATTGCTACCGCTACAATCATTTAACTCTGAAAGAATATTCCAGCTAAGATTTATCTTCTTGAAGAAGTTTTGAAGAAATTCAAAGAAGGTTGTGTATCACTCTGACTAAATAATCTCAGGATGTCTTATGCATAGATATATTCATTTCAGGGGGAGATTCTTATCTCTTAATCTGTTTCTTTTCTTAATCTAAAATAATTTTTTGTCATCATCAAAAAGGGGGAGATTGAAAGAACAAGATTAAGTTCTGACCTATCCCAAGTGTTTTGATGATAACTAAATTATATTTAAGATAATTTATGCTCTAATGAATGTGGTTTTGAATGTCTTAGTTAATGTTCTGACAAGAAACATTTCAAAGTGCTAAGCAAAGATTATAAATAAGTTCTTTGACAAAAGAACCTTTTATTCAAACGCATCTGCTGACTCTGGTAAGAACACTCATTTGTTATATGTATCTTCTAACTTCTAGCAGGCTTCTTGATTATGAAGATAACTTGAAAGCAAGCACTATTCAAAGATCTTAGCAAGCAACGCTCTGACCAGAAGTTGAATAAAGCATGTTCTGAGTTAAAGCAAATACTGAAACAACGTCCTAATCAACGTGTCTTGTCAAAGCAAAGGAAACACGTTCTTACATTCTGACGTTTGCTAATTAATGCAAAGACGGATGAAAACACTCAAGTGCCTACAACTAGTTTCTTGGAGAATGGAACTTTGCAAGGATATACGCAAAGCATTTAATGCTCTCCATTTTCTCTAAAGGCAACAACGGTCTTATTTTCTCCTACTATAAGTAGAAGGACATTTATTGCAAGCCAAGAAGATTGCTCAAACAAGAAACTACGTGATATATTCAAAAGCTTACAAACTCATAGTTCTTACATTATTGTGTACTGCATTCTAAGAAAAATCACAGTTGTGATATAGCTTGATTAGAAGCAAACTCTATTTCATTTATCTGTAAAGATTATACTTCTGTATTTGTTCCTTGAGAGACCAAGTTTGGTCAGATTTCTCAAGCAAACTAAGACTAGAGTTAAGTCTTAGATGTGTTAGTCACTTGTAAGTTTACTTGTGCATTGTTAGTCACAACAGTTGTTGTGTGATTGTAATCAGTTGATTATAGTGCATTAAGTCCTTGTTGAGAAAGGCGAAATCACCTTGGCGGGTGGACTGGAGTAGTTTGAATTTAAACGAACCAGGATAAAAATAATTGTGTTATTCTATTACTGTTTTGAGCTTTGTTTTGAAAGAACAAAAAGAGTAACTTATTCAACCCCCCCCCCCCTTCTAAGTGTTTTCTTACCCCTTCAGCATCAAAATAGTTTTGACAAATGTAGCCCACTCAGGATATATTCCATCCGCTAAATAATACCCCATATTATCAAGAGTTCTATTGATTGTATATTGCATATTAGCAGCACATCCTTCCAAAATATCGTTAAACACATTGGATTGGTTTAACACATTAATGTCATTGTTTGAACCTGCAATACCAAAAAATGCATGCCAAATCCACAAGTCTTGTGATGCCACTACTTCAAGCATCATCGTGGGTTTACCATGATCACCTCGACAAAACTGTCCTTTCCATGCAACAGGACAATTCTTCCATTCCCAGTGCATATAATCAATGGAAACCAACATACTTGGAAAGCCACGTGACTCACCCATTTGTAAAATATGTTCAATATCAGTGTTGTTAGGCTTTCTCAAATACTCAGCCCCAAATACAACATTCACGCCCTTAACGAATCTTTCTAAGCACTCAATTGAGGTACTTTCACCGATTCGAACATATTCGTCTACAATGTCAGCGAGAGACCCATATGCCAACATACGAATAGAAGATGTGCATTTCTGCAATGGTGAAAGACCCATCTTACCAGTTGCATCGACCCTCATTTGGAAATATTCATCATGATTGCCGAGGGCATCTACAATTCGAAGAAACACATGCCTATGCATTCTGAACCTTTTTCGGAATTGTACATCTGTGCATACTGGATTTTCTGAGAAGTAGTCATTGAATAACCGATTGTGCACTTCTTCACGATCTCGATCTACCGTAGTTCTTCTCTTTGGCCTAGAGGAACTTCCAAATTGACATTCATTTTGAAGATGTTGTTCTTCATCACTGTCGTCCATAAATTCTTCTTCAACTAACTCCCAAAATTCTTGATCGTAATTATCTGAATTGTCTGAATCCATTTTAGTGAGGAATAAGAAGAGAATGAGAAAACAATGACATAAGTGGTAGTATATATAATGGTTTGAATAAAGGCTAGTTATTCATAACGACTAGTTTGAATAACGGCTAGTTTGAACAACATAATATTTATTATGATTTAAAGTGGTACTAATGACCATTTTACATAGGATTTGATAAATTAAAGTGGTACTAATGACCATTTTACATTTAATTTAAAGTGGTACTAACTACAGTCCATATTTTTTTTCATTTTATTACAATATTTTTCATGAATATCTCGTTGACTTTCGTTCATAGTAGAAGTGTCTTTCATCATGATTTGCATTACCTTTAATTCTATCTCGTCCTCCTTACTTTGCGCAAGTCTTTCCATTGTTTCTGCTCTTTTATTCCTTGCATCTTGTGTTGCATTTGAAATTTTCTTTGCCTTACTGTTTACAGTGATTTCTGGTAAACAACCGCTAGTCCTCCAAACTATCGAATAAACTTACTGACTGTTATTCAATTTCTCTGGTAACTCGCAGGATCGACTAGATTGATCCTAGGACGTGTTGGTCATTAGGGTAACTCTCATGATCGAACAGGTATTCATGGTTGGTATTTAGAATGTTGTGTAGGTGTTTGACTTATTTCGATTTCTCTCTTAAAGATCTAAAGGTGTAATCAAAATATATGTGCGCGAAACTAAATTGCATGAATAAATGTCAATTGTAAAGACATGTAAAAACTTCATAAAAGACAAGTAAATGACTTCTAATTGTAAAGAAAGCAGTTAATGTAAAAGATTCGAAATGTGAAGAAAGCGTTTAATGCAAGAAATCTGTAAAATGACTTTAAGTTAAAAAGGTGTTCGAAGGATAAAAACTTGAAGATAAAGGCATGAAATGTATAACAGTTTCTGAAATGTAAAGTATTTGAAATGGAAGGAAAGCATTTAAACGTAAGGCATCAGTGAAAAGATTTCGAATAAAAAGACTTTAGATGCAAAAACTTGTAAATGGTATTGACATAAAGATAAGGAAAGTACTGGAAATGATAAAGGGTTTTCATTAAATCATAAACATGTGGTGTTATCATACGTACATTGCTCTTGCACTCGTTTCCCTAGCCATGTGGTAATTTGAATGTTTACTGAGTTTTTTGTACAAATAGATATGACACACGAAATCCTAATGCTAAGACTTCTATTTATACTACTTCGACCATAACGGTCTTGCTATAAGATTCTGCCAAGTTCAGAACATGCAGAGCAATGCCTCTCTTTTGCTTCCACGTGTCTTCGAATGTTCCAACGCATATATTTCAAATTTCGAACATCCCGCTTGCATTTGAATTTCAAATGTTTTGGCACTTCTTCACTTCGAACGCATTTCCTAGACACAGCCTTGTTATCATTTTGAGACTTCTTTGGATATATTCTCATAACTGTCACTTGAAGCTCCAAGCTTTGATATGCTCATTCGAAGCATTACTTCTACTATTTCGAAACATGACGTTTTTTTTTATTTCGATCGAAACGTCCAATTTACTTTGCTTCTAATAATATTATCAAAATCTTCAGCCAACAAAATGCCCCTTTAAAATATGTATTTCGATTCCTTTGAGAAATACTTATTTTAAACATATACACAAGATTTTGATGCGACCTTCGAATCATCGTAACATTTATTGCATTTGACTCCAGTCACGTCAATCATAACACTTTTTAGATTCCTTAACCGCCTTGAACTATTTCACGGTATGGTGCAGTTACAAAACAATGATTAACTTTAATCACGCCTGTTACCAATGTTAACTTTACGCCACCTCTTCATCAAACCAACCCATGATTACCACGTATCACAACCTTACTCAGTGGATGCTTAAACTTCCATATTATAAAAACCCATCAACTTAGTCTTTTTCTTTTCTTCCCACATTCTGAATCTTTTCTCCTTATTTTCTCACCGAAACCCTAAGCTTTCAACATTCTTCCAACAATGTCTTCTTCTACTTCATCCCAACTAAAAAAGGTTTCCAAAAAGAAAGGAAAGACCGCAGGAACTACCATGGAAAGCAAGGTTGTCACTCACCAAGGTCAATCTGTTCTTGTTCCCCAGATGATCTCAAAGGAGAAAGAAATGCTTTATGCATCCCAGGTACTTATTCCTACCACCGCTGCTGGTAAGAGGTTAGCTTTAATGGGCCCTCTTACAGTTTTTGAAATTTTAAAAGACACCAGGAAAATTTTCCCAGTTTGCTATAATTTCAAACCCCTGTTTAATAAAATGGACGCCCCTAAGGCAATAGAATCTTCTGGCTCAAACACCATGGAAAATCCAACTGTTCCTCCTAAGGACCCTTTTGTATTAGACTATGTAAAGAGTAACTTCAAACCGTTTCGATCTTGCCCCACCTCCGACACTGCTTATCAAAACTGGTTCAATAAGGTAGAAGCTAAGAAATCCCAGCAATAGGGAGAATTAGGTATCTACAACTTGATTAAGCTGTCGAAGCCAGGCTTTACTTACAGCCACCCATTGTTATTCGCGTCCCTATATTTCTGGGACAGTACTTATAATACTTTCCATCTCCCTGGTGGAATGATCACCCCTACCTTCTTTGACATAGCGGCCATCACTGGGCTATCACCAGTAGGAGAAACATATATCCCTGACAACGAAGAACATTCGAGTATAATCGACTTTGAAGTCAAACTAGCAAGCTTTTCAAAGTTTATCAGCCACTACCATGCTGAAGGAGACAGTGTGTCTGATGTAGAACACATTGCTTTCCTTACCTTGTGGCTGTCAAGATATGTCTTTTGCAGCAGATCCCTACAGGTAGCCAGTAGGTTTATTCCTCTAGCTAGAGATTTGCACGAGAATCGGAGAGTGTGCTTGAGCGAATTGCTACTAGTTGATCTTTATGAAAGCCTAAGGTCAGCTGTTTCGAGCCTAAAATCTCACACCTCCAAGAATATCTTGCTAGCTGGCCCTTTCTGGTTGCTTCAGTTGTGGCTAAATGCCATGTTCGAACCTTCATTGTCAACGGCCAACACCATTGCTGAACAAGACCCTGAAATAATGGATAGAATGATCGAAGGCACTAGGCTGCGAAGACTAACCCCAAATGATGATAAGGATGACTTCAAAGTCCTATTCTCAAAATACATCATGATATTCTCTAAGAGGCATAAGTTCGAAGAGACTATGGCGTCTTTTGCTTCAAGGGCTCATGGACCTTCATGGTTCACCATGGCTCTCTCAGAAGCTGTCAAGAGCAAAGAGATTCAATATGTATGGAGAGCCTTTTTGCTACCCAGACTAATCTCTTCAAGAATAACTCCTGCCAAGAATCAGATTTTCCTTTTCGCTTATCAGCCAAATTTTGTTTCGAGACAGTTTGGCTTATGCCAATTAATTCCTGAACCCTTATTTCAAACTGAGAGTGCCATTACCTCTGGGCGAACCTTTAAGGCATGGGAAGCCAAACTACAGCAAGAACAATACCAAGGCTTTGCCCAGTTTGAGCTAATAACTTTCGAACCTACCCACCTTACAGCAAAGGGGTTTCTGGAATGGTGGACAAAGTTTTATCAGACTTATATGTTCGATACTCTTATTATTCAGCAGAAACTAACTGATGCCTTCGATGTGCAGGTACCATCCAAGAAAGGTATGTTCACTCATGCCAAAGAGATTAAAGCTTTTCAAAATTATTTCGAAACTACTTATGACCCCACACACTTGGAATCCACTGTGCATCAAGCGGCTGAGACCTTGAAGGAAAAATTCAAACAAAAAGTTTCTAAGTTAAAACTTCCTTCAGGGTTGTCACCTGAGGATAGGTATAGGTTGGCATTCAAAATGCATCCACCTAAATTTCCTAGATTACCTACCTCAGAATTGGCTCTGGCTTGGTTTCCTCCATACCCTTGGTGGTTCACTTGCAAAGAAATGTTCAAACATCTTCAAAAGAAACCAAAGCCATCTGAGACTGTGACATGGGCTCGACACTGGCTCTACGATTTCCCAGGACATCTTCGCTATGACCTTTCTGCCATGTCGATTAAATCTGATCAAGGCACAGGTGCGAATGCTTGGGAAAAATCCCAAACGTTTTTTATTTTCCATATCTTTAACTTTTGCTTTAATTGTTTCAATTTTCAGCCATCAGGATAAAGACAGCTGCTTCGAAGTCGAAAGAAGGGAGCGCCTCTCAAGCCTCTATCGAAACCACTGACAATGTGACTCCATCCGAAACAACAACCATTGTTGCAACAACAACAACAACAACAACAACAATACCAACAACAACCAGTGTTCCAACTCCACAGGTAATCACTTAGCCTTGATGTTTCGAATTCACTAATGTTTCATGACTTGTATCTAACTCTTTGTTTAAATCTTTTCAGACCAACAAACTTCCGCCTACCACTCCAAAGAAGCGAAAATCAAACACCACTGGGGAAGACCCCAAGACTGGAGGAAACTTACCAGCTGCTTCGAAGAAGAAGCAGAAGAAGGATATTTCAAAGAGCGCTGTACCAACTAGTGTCTCTGGACTCGATTCCAGGGATGCTGCTCCCTCACCCAAATCCAAAATTCCATCTTCGACCTCCAACGTAATGTTGGAACGCATAGCTAGCAACCTCTCTTCCGAGAGTCCACAGGTAAATTGAACTTTAAACTTTTGACAAAATAATTATCCATTACCTTGGTGCATGCTTTTAATATTCTTTCGCTCCTTGCAGAATATCTTAAATCCAGCTTCTACCACTTCGACCTCACCCTCAAAAGCTACTGCTCCACTCAACTCCTCTCCTCAAGGAGACTCCAACAATCTTGTACAGAACAAAGGTTCCTCCAATATGGCGGTTCTGGCTGGGGCTTCTGAGCAGCAAGATGATCAAAGTACCTCTCCTCCTCTAAAAGAAACAAATGAAGCAACGCTTCATGAATCTGCAGAGGCTTTACAAAGAACTTCTCTCCAAAAGTCCCCTCTTGAAACCCTTCAA